AACCCTAAACCCCTTAATTTTCGGAAGCTCCCACATCTGAGTTATCGTGCAAAATCCGTCGGCAGCATGGGATTCTGCCCTCTCCAGAACTTGTCCTCAGCCTTGGCAGCAAAGGTGCTTGACTTTTGACCCGAAGGAAGAAGTTGACCCTGCAAACCCGACTCAGTCCGAAACCCGTTGCGGCCCCCATCGCGCAAGACAGCGCAGCCCTTGTCTGAAGACGGCACGGAGAACGATCTGCAGGGGGCTTTAAAGGCTTGGGGGCTTTGTCGCCTACAGTAGTGGTTTAAAGGTGCCGGGTGCGCGACTCGATTGATCCTGCAGTCGGTTTCTGGCCTGCTTGTTTTCATTTGCTGGCGACTCGGCCCTCTCCGCGTGCTTGTGTTTTGAGGCTCGATGACAACGACGAGGGAGAGCAACAGGCGTGGAAGAAGTTCGTCGCAGCCTGTGGCAGCATCAGGCAGTGTTTCACGCACGGACCGACTCGAACCGACCGACAGTGCACCTACAACGCAGAGCGGGTGATTGGCAATGGGACCTTTGGCATCGTGTGCCCTTCCGGGGCTCTGCGGGACTCGAACGGACAAATCTGCAAAGCGGTGGGAAAACTTTTGACTCTTGTAGGTACTCCGCTCATATCGTGGAGACCAACGAGACCGTTGCCATCAAGAAGGTCTGAATGTGACTTCCAGACGTTTTGGCAATCAGCTCGTCGCATGCCTTCAGCGCTGTACCAGGTCTTCGTCGACCGAAGGTACAGGAATCGAGAGCTGCAGGTGCAGTGCTTGGTTATATGAGTTATATGTTCGAAGACAGATGTTGTTCGCACAGGCTATTTCCGTGTGGACGGCTGCAGTGTCTTGAGGTGTGGCGTGAAATGCACCATCCAAACATCGTCACCCTGAAGGTCGGTGTTGACTCGGGCTCGGGTCGATGTTGCCTTTCAGGGTCCTTCGCATGATGTCCTGCATTTTGCAACGGTCAGCATGCCTTCTACACCTCCGGCGACTCTCCGGACGAGCTATATCTCAATATGGCCTGGTCCTGAGAAGGACAGAGGCACATGCACAGCCAGTGAAGGAGGGGTTCTCAGGTCATGGAGTACGTCCCGGAGACTGTCTACTGTGTCATGAAGCGCTTCGGTGCCTGGCTGCTTGCTTTGGAGTGCGAGGTGGTGGTAGCAGTTCGACAGCCTTTGCAGTTCTGCCAACTTGCCCACTTCGTCACTTCCTCGCGTGGCAGCATCGCAGTTCAGGAGCTCGAAAGAGAGGATCCTTCAGTCCTCGACAACTAGTAACCAATAAGACCCAGCAAGCTACCCTCGCCTTGATGCGAGCCATGTCGGCATGCTTCCCCGGCACATGAGCCATGGTCGCGCAGAAGAGGAGGTGGGAAGCAAGCTGGAAGCATTGAGAGTGCTGTGGCCCCTTCTTGGTCCCGGCCCTTTCAGGTATCTGCTTTTCGAGGTGCTTTACGCCGCGAAACCCTCGCGGGTTCGGTGCCCCAGCGCTTTGCTGTAGGGACTGGAAGGCCCTGGATGTTATTGAAGCTCTGCCCCCAGAGACTCCAATATCCCTTAATTAAGGAATATACCTTAAATCAAATTAAGGACCCTAAACCCTAAACCCTAAACCCTAAACCCTAAACCCTCAAATTAAGGACCCTACTATAATTTAAGGACTA